AAGTTGCGACCTTTAACATTCTCCCCCATTTGTTTTGATGACGTCTTCGTTGATCTCAATGCATGATATTCTTCAATTAATGATTTGAAGGCTCCAATGCTTTTTTCTCTTTCCCAAGTATTCTCCTCGCTGCTGTATCCACTCCATTTGACCAAGTATTCTTAATGATATTTTCTGGAAGCTCGAGTAGTACGATGGTCCAGTATAGCTTCTGTAACATTCTTTCTAGCTTTTCTTAGTTCAAACATAGGCCGCTTTGACTCATTTCTGGATGCATCCTCCTTGTCGACAAAGTAGGCTTGAGTATGCCAACATGAAGGACCTTGTGGATTTTGCACCATGAAGGGTTGTATGTGACTCTTCCAATCCTCTTCATGATGGGTAATGGTCAAATATATTTTGCCACCAATTTTGAGTCTTTCCCTCTTGTCGGTTTATAAATGTTTCTGTCAGGGAGTTTAACCATTACCAGATCTTTAACATTAAATTCAAGGAAAAAAGGCTTTCGATCTGCAGACTTTTTGTACCATTTTTGAGCTTTCTCAAGACAACTCCGAGTAATTTCAATGTTTCGTTTCCACTCTTGAGAGAAGCTTTTTGCTTGAGGGGGACTTGGTACTTTGTTCGATATCTACGGTATGAGGGAGTAGCAGTTGCTGGCCAGTAACAATCTAAAAAGGACTCTTATTGGTGGAGGGGCTCTTTTGGGCATTAAAACACATCTGAGCCGCATCCAAAAGTTTCACCCAATTTTTCTGTGAAGTAGAGATAAAGTATCGAAGATATTCTTCCAGATTAGAGTTGTAGCACTCCATCTGTTAGTCGATTATGTGTGAAAACTAGAACTCATGCTCAAAGTTGAACTAAAAAGTTTGAACAACTCGGTCCAAAATATGCCAGTGAATCAAGGATCCCGATCACTGACGATGTCCTTAGGCAGTCCCAGTATTTGACAATATGTTTGAAAAAGAGTTGAGTTGTCTCTTCGGCTGATACATACTTTGGCGCTGCGGTGAAAGTTGCATATTTCGATAGACGATCTACCACGACAATGATAGTGCCAAAATCTACAACTTTTGGCAATCCTACAATGTAGTCCATCGATACATTCTCGAATGGTCTAGTTGGGACGGAAAGGGGCTCCAGTAAGCCTGCCCTTTCTGATGATCTGCCTTATCTTGCTGACAAACAAGACAAGTTTTCACATAAGTTGCAATGTTGTCCCACATTAGAGGCCAGTAGTATGCACATTGTAGTAGTGCAGCAGTACGTTCCTCCCCGGCATGCCCTGCCCAAATAGTGTCCGGCACTCTGTGATTAGTGATTTCCTCAAATCTCCTCCATAAGGAACATAAAGGCGGCCTCCCTTAGTCTTCACTAGACCCCCATCGAGCCAAAACTGATGAGTTTTACCTTAGTTGATGAGGTTGACCAAATATTAAGTGGTGCTCCCTGAAAGAGCAGCCATTGAACAAATGGTAGCCAAGTAGGCCCGACGACTAAGAGCATCGACAACATGATTACTAGATCCAGGACGTTACTCTAGCATAAAAATGAACTCTGAAAGAAGTTCTTGGCAACGAGCCTGTTTGCTTGATAGTTTCGATTGGGATGTGAAGTGACTAATCGAAGTGTTATTTGTCTTCACAATAAATGGAGACCCAAGCAAATAGTGGAGCCATCCCCTAAGGCAATGGACTACTGCCAACAGCTCCTTTTCGTGGGCTGAGTAACGACATTCAGCTTGATTCAGTTTTAGGCTCTCATATGCTACCGGATGTCTTTCTTGCCAAGGACTCCACCAAGTAAAAAGTCTGAAGCATCAGTATGCACTTCAATGGTTTAGCCATATCCAGAAAGGCTAACACCGGGTTCGTCCACATCGATTTCTTCAACTTCTCGAAAACATTTTGGCATTGGGATAACCGGTCCCAATCCTTATCCTTCTTCATCCATTCAATAAGTGGCAATGCAATTTTTGAGTACCCGTTTACGAATCTTCGATAGTAATTGCATAACCCGAGAAATAGACACACATCGTGGACATTCTTTGGTGGTTGCCAATCTTTGATGACTACAACCTTCTCGCATCCATGCTTAAGACACACATCGTGGACATTCTTTGGTGGTTGCCAATCTTTGAAGACTACAACCTTCTCGCATCCATGCTTATTATGCCTTGTTCGATGATGTGACCCAAGAAACTGATAGACGTCTAAGTGAATGAGCATTTAGACTGTTTGGCGTAGAGTTCATTCTCTCATAGCCAATTGAAAACCTGCCTAACATGTTGCTCAAGTTCCTCCAATGTCTCGCTATAGATGACCATGTTGTCCAGGTACACCACTACAAAATCGTCCAAGAATCCTTAAAGTACCCGATTCATCATCGTACAAAATGTTGCTAGAGTGTTTGTTAAGCCAAAAGGCATCACCTTAAATTCAAATCCATTTCTGGTTACCACCATAGTTTTTGCTCCATCTCCCTCTTTGATCGGAACTTGCCAGTATTCGGACCAGAGATAACTCTCTAGCGGAATAGGATAACTATTCTTCACAATGATCTTCTTCAAGGCTCGATAGTGGTAGCACATTCTAAGATAACCATTGACTTTTTCTGAAACAAAATGGGAGCTCCATATGGTGATTTCGCAGGCATGATACTCCCACTTTTTAACATTTCTCCCAATTATTTTCGAAGCTCTTCAAGCTCCAGTTG